GTAGATATAGTAGATACATGCTTGATACTGGGGAGCTCCATGACCCACATCACTGTGGCCATCATGTAGACAACCATGCACATAATGATGGCTACTGCCATCTACTGCCTACACTTCCCTCTGGTCTTGTGAGCAACCAACTGTTTTTTAGATAAACCCTTGTACACTGTTTATGAGATTGCAAATTGGTGCAGTTGCTATGGAAAACAGTGTGGAGCTCCTCAAAAAACTAAAAATAGAGTTACCATGTGACCCAGCAATTCCACCATCTGGTATATATTTGGAAAAAATGAAAACACTGATTAGAAAAGATACATGCACCCAGTGATCAAAGTAGCACTATTCACATAGCCAAAATATGGAAGGAACCTAAGTGTCCACTGACAGATGAACAGATAAAGAAGATGTGGTACTTATGGTACTATTTCCAAACTGAACCTTAATACTGATACAGCTTAATAAGGCAAAGATATCCTGACAATGTTGGTATTACTAATATTTTGATATTATTGACAATAATATTTTATGTAAGTATTAACACTTTTAAAAAGATGTATATATACACACACATATACACACAATGGAATATTATGCATCCATAAAAAGAATGAAATTCAGCCACTTGCAGCAACTCAGATGGACCTAGAGAATAGTATGTTTAGTGAAATAAGTCAGACAGAGAGAGATACAGTATGATATCATTTATACATGGACTCTAAAAAGTGACACAAATGAATGTATATGCAAAACAGACTCACAGATATAGGAAATAGACAAGCAGTGGAGGAAGGGATAATATAGGAGTAGGGGATTAATAATTACACATTATTATGTACAAAATAAGCTACAAGGATATATTATACAGCACAGGCAATTCTAGTCATATCTTGTAATAACTCTTAATGGATTATAATCTGTAAAAATATTGTCACTATGCTGTACAGCTGAAACTAATATAATATTGTAAATCAATTATACTTCAATAAATTTTAACTAATTAAAACAGATGGTATACTAACCTGGAACTTTACATATAGAAAAAAATTTCCTACCATCAATGAATAAATTTGCCCCCTACAAATGTAAAAACAAAAATGAAAAAAAAAGATCTTCCATGTATAGAAGCATCCAACTTTGAGCCTCATTTCTCTCACCAGTCCAGTCACAGAGTTATCCAACATGGCCTCTCCTCCAGACCATGTATGTGGCTTGCCAAGAGTTCTTGGAATAGGAGGCAGAGGAATCACCTTCACAAAGGTAATGAGATTGTCCCTTCAAATCTTGCATCCAAGGCCCAGTCTCACTCAACAAAGTAGATGTTCTTATTCATAAAGCCAGAAGCATCCTGGAACATTCATTTACTCAACAATGATGGTCATCGAGTCCTGATTATGTGGCAGTGTTGGAATACAGTGATAGAGTGAACACATGGTCCACACCAGGTCCCTGGCCTTAACATTCCAGAGAGAGAGAGACAATCACTCAACAAGAGAATTACAAACTCTAAACTGTGCTCTGAAGGAAATTAAAAGGCTGATGAGCTAAAAAGTGGGGGAGGGTGGATCAGGAATGCCTACATTCAATCAGACAGTTAAGGATGACCTCTCTGAAGAAGAGTCATGTTAGTCCCAGGAGATAAAAAAGAGCTAGGGTTACAAAGATGTGAAGTAAGAGCGACCCAGACATGGGTAATAGTATGTGCAAAGGCCTTGAGATGGGACTGTGCTGGTCACACTCGAGGACAAGGAAGGTGTGTCTGGAGTGAGAGAGAGGAAGTGTGGTAGGAAATGAGGCCCAAGAGGCACTGGGAAACCAGACCATGCAGCACTTTTTTTTTTTCCATTTATTTTTATTAGTTGGAGGCTAATTACTTTACATCATTGCAGTGGTTTTTGTCATACATTGAAATGAATTAGCCATGGATTTACATGTATTCCCCATTCCGATCCCCTCTCCCACCTCCCTCTCCACCCGATCCCTCTGGGTCTTCCCAGTGCACCAGGCATGCAGCGCTTTTTAGGGCTAATTACAAGAGTATCCTAATTGTGATGGAGATGGACTGACAAGTTTTGAGTAAAAGAGTGACTGACTTAGTACTTTAAAGGCTTTCTCTGATTGCTCTGTTGAGAACAGGCTATCAAAGAGTAAAAGTAAAAGCTGGGACCGACAAGTCCATTCCCTGTGTCTGCGTCTCTATTCCTGCCCTGAAAATAGATAGCTAGTGGGAAACAGCTGGATGGCACAGGGAGTTCAGCTATGATGACCTAGAAGTGTGGGATGGGGGATGGTGGGAGGGAGGTTCAGGAGGGAGGGGGTATATGTATACTTATGGCAGATTCACTTCCTTGTACAGCACAAACCAATACAACATGGTAAAGCAATTATACTCCAAATTTATTTTATTTTTATACTCCAATTTTTAAAAAAATTGTTTTTAAAAAGCAGGGAGCCCAGCAGCTATTTCTGCGTTATTCTTTCCCTTCTCTTTCCCCTTTCCCCTCCATTCTGCAGCCATTCGATTCCTGACCTCAGTCTTCACTCCCTTGTTGGCGCTGCTCTCACCCTTTAGGGCTTATGACAGATTTGGTTTCTTCTTCTTGACCCTTGATATTCTCTCCATGGATGTGGTTTTCCTCCATACTCTGGCTTCATCCAGTGATGGCATCTGAATCACCTTCTGCACGATCTAGGCTTGACCTCACCCTGTCTCCCACGAAGACCCTCACAGTCGGGAAGCTGGAGACTCATCTGAAGTCCGATGGGGAATGAATCTGAATTATACCACTGTTTCAAGAACCGATTTTTTTCCCAGGAAAAAATGATGAATTTCTCACCAATTGAAGGACAACGAAAACTAATTGTTGGATAACCTAAAAGAAACATTGTCTTTTTTTTTATATATTGTAGTAGTTTTTGCCATACATTGACATGAATCAGCCATGGATTTACATGTATTCCCCATCCTGATCCCCTCTCCCACCTCACTCTCTACCCGATCCCTCTGGGTCTTCCCAGTGCACCAGTCCTGAGCACTTGTCTCATGCATCCAACCTGGGCTGGTGATCTGTTTCACCCTAGATAATATACATGTTTGAGGTACCATTACACGCCAGTCAGGATGGCTGCTATCCAAAAGTCTACAAGCAATAAATGCTGGAGAGGGTGTGGAGAAAAGGGTCTTACACTGTTGGTGGGAATGCAAACTAGTACAGCCACTATGGAGAACAGTGTGGAGATTCCTTAAAAAACTGGAAACAGAACTGCCATATGACCCAGCAATCCCACTTCTGGGCATACACACCGAGGAAACTAGATCTGAAATAGACACATGCACCTCAATGTTCATCGCAGCACTGTTTATAATTGCCAGGACATGGAAGCAACCTAGATGTCCATCATCAGACGAATGGATAAGGAAGCTGTGGTACATATACACCATGGAATATTACTCAGCCATTAAAAAGAATTCATTTGAATCAGTTCTAATGAGATGGATGAAACTGGAGCCCATTATACAGAGTGAAGTAAGCCAGAAAGATAAACACCAATACAGTATACTAACACATATACATGGAATTTAGAAAGATGGTAATGATAACCCTATATGCAAAACAGAAAAAGAGACACAGATGTACAGAACAGACTTTTGGACTCTGTGGGAGAAGGTGAGGGTGGGATGTTTCGAGAGAAACATTGTCTTGATTCATGAATTTGAAGGTTTAAAATCAACACATCTATTGTAATTTTCATTGATTAATGACATTCCTCACAAAACCCATTCTAATCTTCAACTTTTTCTTCCATGACTTCACTAAAGACTTCTAGGTCCCTCTATTCCTAGATCCCTCTTTACCCACCACACACACAAAATCCACTTAGAGTTTGTGTCACATGCACCACCACCATACAGGTGTTCAAAGTTTTATAATTTCAAACTGCATTAATTTATTAAATCAACAAATATGTACTGACTGCCTCAGCTGTGTGTCAAGACCTATGCTGGATGCTTTGGATAAAGAAACAAGACAAACATCCTGCCTTTGAGGAAACTGGGAAAAGATAAATCAACATCATAGCAAGCAGTCAAGGCCAGGCGACAGAGTTGTCACTGTGACTCCTAGATCCAATTTCAAGCTTCATTATAAGAAACAGAGTTTCCCATCAGGCCCTGCACACAGTCAGTGTATGTTGCTGATGGTGACGATGATTTGGTATTTTTCCAGAAGATTTGCTCTCAAATCTGAGGGCCATTCCAATTAAACCCGAAGTATATTTCATCAAGGAATTGTCACTCATTGGCATGTATGGCCTTTTAGCTAAAGACTGATGTGCTAAATGAGCAATGTTATCTTACTGAATTCACTTAACATGGATGACATTGCAGTCTTCCAAAACGATCTCATTCTTAAGTCTCCAAATTACCAGCTACTGCAGTTCAACTGTCTCAATCATCTATTTGCTGCAGATAGAAACAAAGACAGAATATATCTCTGTTTTGATCACAGTCTAGTCAAGGGTTGGGCCTCCTGGATCAGATACATGTTCCTCACCATGAATCAGTGACCAGCTTTTGGCACACCTCAGCTTTCCCATGTGTATTCTATGATTGTTGCTATATATAATAATAGAGATAGGAAGATGATATCATAATGCTCCAGGGAGCTTTAAATAAAGCATTATGCATAAAAGAAAACAGTCTAAAAGTAAAACCAAAGCTTCAGTTCTGTGCAGATTGGCCCCCAAATGGCATTTCAGAGTTTCATTAAGAAATGTCAAAGACAGCAGTAGTCCAAGCTGTTGCCTACTTGAGGCCAGTTCTCCATCCATCACAGGTAATCCTGAGTGAGTGGATTCACTTGCTGAAGCTTCAACTCGTCCTATAGCCATATGAACCAACAGGAAGCCGTTAAGAGGCAACCCAACAATTTGTCAAATACTTTATTTCGATAACCTACTGTCCACGAGATATTGAAAGAGTTCATAAGAATACATTTTCTTACCTGAGAGAAAGATAAAACTCGACATGAGAATGGTTCCATAAAGCTTCTGATATATAATGTGTTCTTTCATTGTTTAAACCTGCAATCAAAAAACCAGAAATAAGCTGAGCTCAGAGTCAGAACAAATGATTTCCAAGCACATGTGACTATACTTGTCCTTCGCATCCCACACAAGACTTTGCCTATTGCTCAAAGCCAACATTTGTTGTTGCTGTCTAGTCACTCAGTCGTGTCTAACTCTTGTGACCCCATGGACTGTAGCCCACTGGGTTCCTCTGTCCATGGGATTTCCCAGGCAAGAATACTGGAGTGGGTTGCCATTTCCTTCTCAAGGATCCTGCCCCAGGAATCGAACCTGCGTCTCCTGCATTGGCAGGAGAGTTCTTTACTACTGGGCCACTAGGGAACACCAAAACTGATATAGTCAGCCACAATATAGACACTTGTCTGAGTTATGCAGCTTGGCTGCCACCTCATTGACTGATTTATTTGCATATCCACTTAACACATTTTATTGAGTGCCTACTATGTGTCAACACTGTGTTACACACTGGGAATACAGTGCTGGAAAGATAAGACAGGGATACCTGCTCTCATGGGGCAGATAGCCCAGAGGGGAACTCAGTCATTAAATGTATAATTACAAAAGGTGATGTATTCAACCTTTTGTCTTTAAATCTCAGAAACCGTTTTTTTTTTTTCCATTGGAGTATAACTGCTCTACAATATTATTTTCTGCTATATAACAAAGTGAATCAACTATGCTGCTAAGTCACGTCAATCTTGTCCGACTCTGTGCGACCCCATAGACGGCAGCCCACCAGGCTCCCGTCCCTGGGATTCTCCAGGCAAGAAACAACTATATGTATACATATATCCCCTCCCTCTAGAGCCGTCCCCACCCTCCCCAGAGGTGATATATTCAACCTTAATGCACACAACTTCAACCCAACTTGCCGTTTTAGTGATCCTAAGCTTTTTGGAGCAAGCATTATGCAAGATCTGATAGACAAAAGTAACTCATCAAATCATTGCTGTTTCTAAAAGCACATCTGTTTAGAGAAACCTGACTATCTTCTTACATTGACCCACCTTCTCTCCTTAAATAATCATAACTAAAGCTGCTTATTTGGGAAACATACTGGGAAGTCCCCCTTGCTCCAACCGAAAGCAATATTAAAACTACAAATCCTATGGAAACTATTACAGAAGCTTGGCAGTAAGGCACTGGTGGGTATTTTCTGATTTTAAATAAAATACACTTCTGAATGTTTACCACTGATTTTAACATTTTTTCTATAGAATAAGGCAACATATTGTATTTCTTTCCACTTCTAAGCAGGGTTTGGAGTGAATAGACTCACTTTATATTTAAAGTAACAGAAGTCAATTAGGAAACCAAATGAGTCTTACGCATGCTATAAGCACCAGCCATTAATAAAGCTCTTCATATTTACCAAGAGTGCTACTGCTATTCTCATTAGAATAATAAGGGAATTTGTATGACTTGGATGGATTTTCTAAACTACAAGCTTAGAAGTAAGGGGCTGTCTAAATCTTTTATGACTTTAGAGATGAAATGCAGTTTAAATTTCCCGTGCTGGAAGAGGATCCAACTGAGAATCCATAACTAGCTTTGAGACTATATTGCTTATTGCCGTTCCTTCATTTTCCTGGGCCTCAGTTTCCTTATCTGTAAAAATGGAGATAATAATCTGCCTATTTCCCAGAGCTGCTACAAAAGAGGATCAAATGAGGTGATATTTCAAAGGCAATTTTCAAAGTATAAAGTGCTATAGAAATGGATATGATTGCTATCTATAAAATGGAATTTTCAGCAGCAAACAATCCAATTTATACCTTCCTTGCATTTCCTCTAAACTTTTATAACAATTTCAAGGTGTATTTCAGAAACTTACCTCGCACCCCATAAATAAACCATGGAACATTCATACTACAGAATACTATGCAGTCATTAAAAGGAATAAGGTAAATCTCTATGTTTATTAGGCATGAAAGGTGGGTTAGAGGAGGGGGGCTGAGGACTGAGGATTTTTCCTTTGTATACCATACAATTCTGTACTGCTTGATTCTTTCATAATTAGCATACATTACCTATATAATTTTGAAAAGTGAAGGAAAGGAGAAAGAAAAGGAGGGAGGGAGAGAGGAAGGGAGGGGAAACAGGAAGGAAGGGGACAACAGAGATAGGAAGGAAGAATGGGAATGAAAGGGGTTTCCCGTATGCCTCATACCATTCTGTACTGTTTACTTTACAGTGATCCTGCATTACTTTCATAAAATTTTTTTAAAAAAATGAACGAAAGAAGGAAAGGAAGAAAAGGGCAAGAGAGAAGAGAGGGTAGAAATGAAAGACTTTTATGTCTCATACAATTACATGCAATTTGGTTTTTATGATGAATATCTGTTACTTTTGTAGTTTAAAGAAATTTAAAGGAAGGTGAAAGAGAGAAGGAAGGAAGACACTTACCTGAGGACTAGACTCCCTTAGCCTCCCACCCCTGTGTCACTGTGGAGTCCAGAAGACGAGTTTGCTTTTCCAATGACTAAATCTGGTTTCTGAATCCCTATATTTGATGTGAAATGAGACAAGCAAAAAAAATAAATAAAAAAGCAGGAGGCTCATTATCTGCTGGCCATGCCTCAGTCACCTTCTTCTGTGGATCAGATCAGCCTCTCTGCTCTTAGCTTTATGGGGCTTGTTGATTGGGCACATCCCGTTTTTGTGGCTGGTAGCACGTCATGGGGCTGCTCTCCCAAGCATGAAATCAGCAGGAGTAAAGTTCTCAGGTATATTACACACCTGCAACAACCCATTAATTTGAGGGCTCTTTCCCAGTTTTCAGCCACAATTATCTTCAGTTGCCGGTTGATTATGGTTTTGGTAAACTAGATCTATTAAATAGACACTTGTTCACTTAAGCTCTTTTCACTTTATTAAGACAATGGGGAGAAGGGGGCAGTGATGTTCAGAACTAGAAGCAGAAAGCAAGAGGCCAAGGAAGTATAACTTGTTCACATTTCACACTGTCTGTAAAGGGAAGCCAGCTGTTTGCTCTCACTGCAGATCCAGCCTTCAAATTGCCTTGAGAAGAAGTAAACTTACAGAACTCGTTTGTTGGTGTCATTCTCAAGATGGAGGATATAGCTTTTGCCCCAGAAGGTGTCAGTAAAGACCTTTGGGGATGATGGAAATACTAAATCCCATCAACCATCCAGAGATGATTCCTGCCACCATCTGCATTTCCAAGATTGGGACCTGAGGTCCACAGGGTAGAATGAATTGCTTAAGGTCATGGAGCTTATGAGAGGCAGAGCAGGAATGAGAATTGAGGCTCCTGACTCCCAGACCAGTGCATTTTTCTTTCTACCTCACACCATAAATGGGAAAAGACAGTCTAAAAAGAGGCTGAGTTAACCTATCATCTGTAGGTTTTCCATGGGAGAAGGGGGAAGAAGGGGTGTATAGAATCACCCATTACTCATCCCCAAGCCCAGAAAATGTAATCAATATGTTGGATGAGAGCCTAGGCTTTGTAGAAGCTAGACTTGAGTTTGAATCGCCATTGTGTGAATTTAGGGCCAGATGTTCCTTAACATCTCTGGAACCCCTATGTCCTCACTTGTAAAACATGGACAAGGGCATTCACACCATGCTTGCTCATTGGTCTGTCTCTCTCCTCCCCCCATGAGCTCTGGAAGGGCGGAGGTTCCATGTTATTCAGTGGTTCACACACTGCCTGGCACATATGCACTCAGTCAATATTTGATGAATGGGGACTTCCCTGGTGGTCCAATGGTTAAGACTCTGCACTTCCAACGCAGGAGGCACGGGTTCTATCCCTGTTCAGGGGAACTAATATCCCACATGCCCTGAGACATGGCCAAATAAAAGATCTGATGAATGAATGACTATGCTTTTCTCCCCTCCTAAGGACAGGAAAACACAGCTTTCTCCTCATGCCTTGCCCCAAGAGTTAGTACAGTGCCTGGCTCATTGCAGGTATTTAATGAATATTTGTTGAATTTTTAAAAAATTTTGAGGTGAATATATTCATACATACTTGAATATGTTAAAAAAAAAACTCTCTGGAAGAAGACCTTGGTGAGAATAGTGGGTTCTAGAAAAGGAGACTGAGAGGTCTTGAAGAAAACTCACTTTTCTCTGCATATGCTTTTGTATTATTAGAATTTTAATAATCTGCATGTATTGCTTTTTCAAAGAAAAACACTGGGGTTTAGTTTACTTGGTTGTAGTGCAAATGAAATAATTGACTGGAAAATGAAATGTGGAAAAAAAAATAAAGAAGTTGGAACCTTTTGGTCAAGAAAAAAAATGCCACCTGAGGAGGAAGGGCTTTCATGGCTACATTCCATTCTCAGGAAGGTTATTAGGAGAATGTTGACCATCTGTTCTCCATATCTATATAGTAATAGGAAATGGATTGAAATTGCAGTGGGAGATAATGAGTTAAATATAAATAAGTTATTATTGACAATAGGGGTTGATAAATACCAGAAAAGGCTATCACAGGATGTTATGAGCCATCCATCCCTGGAAACGCGAAGGTCTAGATAGCCATATGGCTCTGCTGATTGAAGTGTCCTCCCACACAAAATGCTGAGCTTGGTGAGACTCTGTCCCTGTTTTGGACAATACAATAGACCCTTAATCTGGTGAAGGTCCAGGCTGTCATCATTCCCTCTTCCGTTTCCTGCAATGAGCATCCCACCAGGCCAGTTAGGAGTCTGATGGTTTCCATACAACATGGCCTCCCAAACGCAAGTACACTATTGAATTCAGGGCTGAACCATAGAAACAGTGGAAGAGTCCAATGCTGGAGGAAAAATCATCTGAATGGGTGACTTCCTAAGGGATTTCCAAGGGCAATCTTGATTATATTTGACTGCTGCCTCAAACACTGGGGACTTCCTGGGTACCTCAAATGGTAAAGAATCTGCCTGCAATGCGGGAGACCCAGCTTCAATCTCTGGGCCAGGAGGATCCTCTGGAGAAGGGCATGGAAACTCACTCCAATATTCTTGCCT